ATATTACCTACTGTTATTTTCTAGGTCTTATATTAGTTTTAAAAAAACACTACTGTTTAGCCTGTGCTGTTTTTAGGGATGATTTAACTTTTTTCTTAAAAAATTCTGTCGATTATTTTTTTCCTTAATTTTTTCCATGTAAGAGGCAAGCTAGACAGTATTAGTTAGTATGAACTATTTTCTGTTTTTGAAGAAATTTATAAAATTTTTTTGTAGCCCAGTATTATCTAATTTTTAAAAATATTCCATAGATTCTTTAAAAATAGGTATTTTTTATACCTATAGTATATAGTTTTTTATATATAACAACAAATCAAACATATTCATTATTAAATTACTTAATCAGATGTTCTGTATTACTTATTTTTTACATTTATCTGCCACAGGTAGAGATGATTTAATTCTCCCAACTACTTTTGATTTCTCATTTCATTTTCCACTGTTTTGCTTTGTGTGTTTTGATGTACTTTTTTCTGGAATGAAAAGATTCATGATAGTTATATACTCATTGTAATGATATTCTTTTACATCATAATGTGCCCTTGTTTTGTATTTTGTGTCTAGAATTCAATTTTAAATAATTTGAACATAAAGACTACTGAATCTTATTGTTCACATTTTTCTGGGGGATTTTTACTTGTCTTTTTTTTTTTTTAAAGATTTTATTTATTTGACAGAGAGAGACACAGTGAGAGAGGGAACACAAGCAGGGGGAGTGGGAGAGGGAGAAGCAGGCTCCCCGCTGAGCGGGGAGCCCAATGCGGGGCTCGATCCCAGGACCCTGAGATCATGACCAGAGCCGAAGGCAGACACTTAATGACTGAGCCACCCAGGCGCCCCTTTTACTTGTCTTTTTGTTGTATGTTATTTTATTTTACTGATGTTACTTATTTATTGCCTATAGTGAAATTTCCCACCTCTGATTTGATAATGTTTTCCTTTTCATAGATGTTTAACGGATAATGTTTAACAGATGTGTTTAGTATAATTTTTATTCTGCAACTTATTTTTAATTGTTAGTAATTTTTTTCTTTTGTTTTCCTTTTTTTTTAATGGACAGTGTTAACTTTCCTCAAAAATTACTTTTGATAATTTAGAAGGTCTGTATTATATGTTTTTTTCTAAACATTCACTTCCTGTTTTAAGTTTTGAAACTTAAGTCTATATTTCTTTGTTTACAAACTTTAGAAATAAAGCTGTCTATTGACTCTTCTATTTGAAAAGGTAGGAAATGGACACAATTACACTTTTCTTACCAAATTCTCATTCCTGATTTTTGTTAGTTTCCTTTAGGATTTTTGTCTATTTTTTTTATAATTACATTATTGCATTCACGTTTTGTAGCTCATGTCTTAATAGTTATGATATTTATATTGTTTTATAAACTTAACCACAGTGGTTTTGTTTTCATATTGTATTATTGTTTTTTCCCTATGATTAATTTTTTCTAAAGTTAAATTTAGATATTTTTATTTTTTAATAATTCTTATCTGGCTTTTAGCATCAGTGACTGACTACTGGTAAAATCCCCTTATGAGGAATATTATTAACAGAATTATTACCATTAAGCGGAATTCTGTATAATAAAGCAATTCAAATGCCTGCCAATGGCCTACAGTATTTTGTTTATTAGGTTACAAAGAATTATCTTCCACAAATTATCCTGATCAACAGATAATTTATCTGTGCCCTGACTATTCCTGTGTCATAACCAAAGAGCCATATTTGCAAAGTGCTATACTAGTTTTATTGCAAATGTTGAAGTACATTTTTACTCCTGTGTTTCTTTATCAAGCAGCTGTTAACATTTTACTCTTCTCTCTTTATAACAAATATTCTAGCCACCCATCTAATTCAAGTTATATACCACCCAAACATTTTCTTGCCCACTCACACATTTCTTCTAGGCAGTATTTCATATTGCATTATGTCTGCTCTAATCCCTCTGTTGTTTTATCAGTTGAAGATAGGCCTGTTAATTTTTCCTTCCCTGTCATAATTGGCAATGCTACCATGCTATCTAATTCCAGTTTTAAACAATTAAAAATCTTTTAGTGGCATATACTTAATTCATGGTTTTATTTTGCATTTATGCCTCCCTACCTTCCTTCCTTTCTTCTTTCAAAGTAGCTGCTGTTTAAGGCATCACAGCAAATACCTAAATTAGTGAGAAAACAGACATGGCACTGCCCTCATGGAGCTTCCATTCTAGTTGGGGCGACAGGAAAAAACCCCACCAAGTATACATACAGATTAATAGTTGTTTTAAGAGCTGAGAGAGAATAGCTAGGATTAGATCCACATGAGATTTTGCTGCTTCCTAAAGGAAGAGATGGATCTTGCCATGTGAAGGAGAAGATGAGCTTTCAGGAAGAGTGAATATTCAGGAAACTGAAAGAACAAGAATGGTTCTGGAATTTATTTAGCTGGGTGGAGAATGGCAAAACATGAAGCTGGAAGGATAGATGGAGGATAGATGATCTGAGACAAATAGGTCTTAGAAAGAAATTTGGATTTTTCTTCAAATGAAAAGGAAAGGCAGTGTAGGGTTTCATGCAAGAGTATTGTACTTTCTTTTGCTACTTTAAGGGCAGTGGGTTGGAGAAGAGCATGAATAGAAGAGAGGACACAAATTTGCAGGTGTTCTAATAGTCTAAACCAGAGATAGTCATACCTCCAAAAGGGTTGGCAGTGGAGATGGAAAGAAGTGGGTGGATTTGTGGTAGACTTTGGATGGAGAATCAGAAAGACTTCCTGATGGATTGTTGGGGAAGGGTGACCTGAGTTTCAAAGGAACAGAGACCTTTTTAGGAAGAGAGGGAATATTTATTAGGTATTAGGTTGTTGGGAGTGTGATAAAGCCGGGTTTTTGTAAAAGCTAGAAGATAAATGGAAAGTCCTGATAAGAAGTATAAGGAGTTTTCTAATAATAGAGCAGGAGTTTTTGAGGGTACGGGATTCTCTAGAGAGTATCCTGGGTCAGATTAGGAAATACTGAGGGCATTATAGGATTGATAATTGGGGTCATGATATATACCTCGGAAGAGTTGGACTTCCTACAGTGACTACAATAAACAGGGCTCTTAGGCAGGATGAGATGTGCCTTTCTGGAAGGAGGAAGGCAAGCCGACTTAGTTGTGTCATCTTTAATGTTGGCTTCCAAGAAGGCTTCTCTCCTGGGCTGCAAAGACTCTTACATAGAATTTCAAAAATTTTTTGCTACAAAGAACTTAGAATATTTATTTTTTGAAGATAGGTAATGAAACACTGGTTCCTCTCAGTTTTTTTTTCTTTTTTTGGTAGCCTTAACATTCTGTACATGCTATAGAATGTTTTCCCAATGTTGTGTTTTTTAGAGGGATATATAAATATATATATATAAAATATAAATATAAAATGAAAAAGACAAAGCTATAAGAGTTATTAGGACATTTAGTTTGTTTTTAATCCATATTGTATAGTTTTGTTTTTCACTGTTTTCATCTTGGTTAAATTTTATATTTTAATTAATTCATTTTTAGAAGATTTTATTTATTTATTTGAGAGAGAGGGCATGAGCGGGGTGGGGGTGGTACAGGGGGAGGGAGAAGCAGGCTCCCAGCTGAGCAGGGAGCCTGATGTGGGGGCTCTATCCTAGGACCTGGGGATCATGACCTGAGCCTAAGGCAGATGCTTAATGACTGAGCCACCCAGGTGCCCCTAAATTTTATATTTTAATGGAAGAGATACATCAGTTTTAAATTGCTTTGTGGTATCTAGAGCATATTAGTAGTTAGATTTTTGAATTTGAAAATAAATATGATGAATTCATAGGCCACATTTTATTCAGTGTTCATAATAGCATTTCATAGCTACAAATGGCCTTTCTCCCTAAACAAATGTCCTCGAAGGTTAACTTTTAAAAAAATGTATGTTAGTGTATCAAAAACCAGATTATCAAGTTAGACCCTGGTGAGTTCTGACTATGACTAAGAATTTGCTTCTTTTATGCTATTATTTTGGTTTAGGTGCTTATTCAGTTTTAATTTAGGATTATATTGGAACATTAACAATGAAGAATAATTCTGTTCATTCATAGATCAAAAGTAATAGCATAAAAAATTACTCCAATCTTCAGTAAATATCTGAAATCATACCTTGTCTATTTTTTAATCTTTAACGTGGATCTTACTTGACCATGATAAATCTCCAACAATTGTTTCTGAATAGAATTTTGAAGACCTATAGTGAAGAGTATTCCTCAGTTACTTTTTTTAGTATCTAGAAACTAGAATGTCTAATAACAAATGACTTGTTCTTCTAGCAGTATCCATATGCCCACTTGTCCCAAACCCACCATTATATGTTTCTGCTTTAAAGAAATGTGTTGTGCTGGAAAAACCATTGAGAGCTAATGGTATTTACTAAGAAATGAGAATAGACAGGAATCCAGAGATTACCAGTATTTAAGACATAAGCAGCAAAGAGAAGCAGGTACAAAGATTGAGAAGGATTTTTAGGAAGAGAAGACAAGTTGGTATGTTGGAATATGAGAAGCCATGCAAACCAAAAAAGAAGAGTTTCAGGAAGAAATGAGTCAGCAGGATCAGATCAAATGCTAAGAATAAAGATGGTTAAATTTCTATAGCATTTTGACCATTAGGAAATGGTGACCTTACTGAGGCAGTAGCATGGTATAGGCAGAAGCATTATATCAATGTATTGACAAACAGACAAGAAGTGGTAAAATGATGACTGCAAATGTGGATTCTCAAAGAGCTTAATCCCTTTCATAGAATACTGCATAATCTCTGATTACTAATTTTTAAAGTATTTGTACTTGAAGACATTAAATATGAACCATTCATAGCTCATTGTACAATTGCCAGAAACTTGGCATTTTTATATTAATGTCGTAATTTGTATAAAACTAAATACTTAATGTTCCTGAATACTTAAAGCACAGTAAAATGGAAACCTTTAATACAGATGCTAATTTTATTTCTTTATTTTTTAAAAAGTCTTGGCTACTTATGATTCAGCAGACGGAACAGCTTAGTAGAATAATGAAGACACATGCAGAGGACCTAAATTCTGGACCCTTACACAGGCTCACTATGATGATCAAAGACAAGCAGCAGGTGAAGAAAAGTTTTATAGGTGTTCATCAGCAGATAGAAGCAGAGATGATCAAGGTCAGTCTTTCTACTCTGGAATTCTTTTGTTAATGTGATTTTTAAATTCCGTGAAATATTTTATCTTGTTTGACTTTAAAAATTGTTCATCATTTTATGATGAGAAATAGGTTTTGGTGTCTCTAATAAGTAATATTTTATTCTTATTGAATATAAAACACAATTGATTATAAGATGTACTGTTACTTTATGTACTCCTCTGAAAGAAAAAGAATGCTGCCAATTAAACTATGATACAGTGCTTTCTTATCACTTAGAATTTTTATTTTTTACTTATTGAAATAGCTCTTTTAGGTTTTATTATTTTTATTTTTACTATGCATATAAAAAAAAGAAAATACAGACAAAGTAAATTAAGATATTTTTAAATTTTCTTTACAGTGAGAGTTTGTCCCTTCTGGATAACTTTTTAGTGTTTTTCATTACAAAAATTTCGAATGTACAAAAGAAGAGAGAATAATAAAACAAACTCCTATTGACTGATCCACCCACATAGTCAAGATTTTTTTTTTTTTAAATCTATACTCACCTACTTTTTCTAATACACTGGATCATTTTAAAGAAAATTCCAGGTATCATTTTATCCATAAATATTTTAGTATATATTGCTGAAATAAATACTCTTTTGAAAAAACTTAACCGTATTATCATTAACCCACCTAAAAATAACAGTAATTCCTTAGGGTTATTAAATATCCTGATTGTGCTCAAATGATTGTCATTTAAATGTTTTTTACAGTTGGTTCATTTGAATCATGACCCAAACGTGGCTCACACATTACATTTGAATAATTTTCTTTTAATCTGTAGGTACCTCGCCCCAACCTTTTTAAAATGCCATTTATTTGTGGAAAAAACTGGGTAATTTACTCTATGGAATTGAATTTGTTTAATTTTTGATTTTATTGTTATCATCTTTTGATGTGATTTCACATATTCCTTTATCCTTTAATTTTCCTGTAAACTGCTTGATAAAATTCTGGCTATTTTTGGGGGGCAAGAATATATCATAGATACTGGTATAGACTTCCTATTTTTTTCATATTTGAGCTATCTAATGTCTTCTTGTTTATCTTTTGTGCTGTTAAATTTGACTAATAGGTTCTAGTGCTGCCAGACTGATCAACCTATTGATAAAGTTTCCCTTCAGCCATTCACCAGTAGTTTTAGAAACAATTGATGTTTGCTGCTTAGATCCATTATTTTAGTAGGGGTTATAAAATGGCAGCATTTTACTTCTGTCATTCCTAATGTGATTGTTAACTGTAATTTTTCAATAAAAAGTTTTCTTACATCAACTATTTGGCTACCCTGAGGTATAGTTTATAAACAACAAACAGGATAAATGCTTGCTTTTTACAATTAATTAACCAGTTTGGAGAACAATGAATTGGTTCTTTAGCAACTTCAAAAGTTAAGACTTCCAGTTTTCAGTCTGGCATGTAAGAAGTTTGGATGTTGTCACACCATCCTAACAAAGAGTTAAAATTTGAATACAGTGAAAAATCAACAGCTCTTCTTAGATCCTTAAGAGAAGTGAGGTGACAGAGCCATTGGCTCCCCCTAAAATTGGAGAGACAGACAAGTGAATACAGAGAATCACAATTTACCAGAGCAAAAACCTCTTTGGGAAGCAGTGCTGTGTATAGGAACACCTGAACTGTAACTGACAAGTTCTAGTTGCTCAGTGTGGACAATTTTGACTGTTAAAAGCTCCAGGAGGAGTCACTTATTGAGAGGCCTCCGCACTTTAGTGAGTTTTACATCCCAGACCTCTACCAGGTTCTCACAGTGAATATTGGAAAAAAATTTCATGCTCCAGCAGGGGGAGGGGAAAAGGAACCATTTTGATATATGCCAAAGCATTCTGTCCTTAATAAAGTCTGCTCTCAGGAGAAACTGTTTACCCTTAACCTAAGTAATCTGGGGGGGGGAAATTCATAACTCCTGCTCACTCTGAGTGGGGAGTGGGCTACTCAGCTGAATAGCACATGTGAAGTTCATAGCCAGAGGCACAGACTTAGTAAAAGACTGAGACCTAAACATAGGGTATAAAATGCTTCCCCTTTTCTGACAGCTTCTCACCATATTAGTAGAGTCCTATTTAATCAGTTTCTTTTACCTGGTACATCCTGCCTAGCAATCAAGAAAAAAATAACAAGGGATAGCAAAAGGCAAAAATACACAATTGGAAGAGACAGAACAAGCATCAGACCCAGACACAGTAGGGATGTTGGAATTATCAGACCAGGAATTTATAACAACAAATATGCTAAGGGCTCCAATGGGTAAAGTAAAAAGCATGAAAGAACAGATGGGTAATGTAAGCATAAAGATGGAAATCCTAAGAAAGAAACAAAAGGCATTCTAGCATTCTAGAGAGCAAAAATACTGTAACAGAAGTGAAGAATGACTTTGATGGGCTTAATAAGAGAATGGGCACAATTAAGGAAAGAATCTCTGAAATTGATACTATATCAGTAGAAATCTACAAAACTGAAAAGCAGAGAATAAGGACTGAAAAAAAAATGGAACAGAATTAACCAAGAACCGTGGGGTAACTACAAAAGGTGTAACATATGTATAATGGGAATACCTGAAGGAGAAGAAAGAGAGAAAGGAACAGAAGAGATATTTGAAATGATAATGACTGTGAATTTCCCTAAATTAATGTCAGACACCAAACAGCAGATCCAGGAAATTCAGAGAACATCAAGCAGAATAAATGACCAAAAAACTACCCTTAGGCATATCAATTTCACACTACAAATAATCAAAAATAAAGAAAAAATCCTGAAAGAAGCCTGAGTAAAAAAGCACCTTACCTATAGAAGAACAAATATAAGAATTACATCTGACTTCTCCTCGGAATTAAGTAGGCAAGAAGGAAGTCGAATGAAATATTTAAGTGTTAAGAGAAAAAACCCACAATCCTAGAATTCTATACCTTGTGAAATTATCCTTCAAAAGTGAAATAGACTTTCTTAGACAAATGAAAATTGAGGAAACCTGTAGCCAGTGGATTGAGAAGGAAAATGATATAGGTCAGAAACTCAGATCTATGTAAAGAAAGAAAGAGCATTAGGGAGGGTCGCCTGGGTGGCTCAGTTGGTTAAGCGGCTGCTTTTGGCTCAGGTCATGATCCCAGGGTCCTGGGATTGAGCCCCACATCGGGCTTCCTGCTCAGTGGGGAGGCTGCTTCTCCCTCTCCCTCTGCCTGCTGCTCCCCCTTCTTGTGCTTTCTCTCTCTCTGACAAGTAAATAAATAAAATCTAAAAAAAATAAAAGACCATTAGGGAAAGAATGTGAAGATAAAATAAAAACTTATTTTTCTCATTCTTGATCTAACGGGTAACAGTTTATTGAAAATAATAATAGCAACAATAAAATTCAGTTATGTACAGTCATGTATCTTGGGTGTGTATGTGTGTATACATACATATATAAGTTTATGTATGCTTATATATAAGTGAAATGAATGACAGCAATGATATACGGGATAGAAAAGAGGTATTACGATTATATTGTTATTGTAAGGTACTCATACTACCTGTGAAGTGGTATAGTGTTCTTTGAAAATAGGCTTGCATTAGTTATAAATACATATTGCGAACTCCAGGGCACCTACTAAAAAAAAGTTAAAAAAGAAATATAACTGATATATAAGAAATGAGAGAGAATGGAATTGTATAAAATATCAAAACCATAGAAAAATAATGGAAGACAAAAATGGGAACAAATAACAAAGGTAACAAATAGGAAGCTAACAAATATGATTGCCATTAACCCAGGTATTTAGATAAGTTCTTTGAAACTTAGTGGTCTAAATGAGCCAATTAAAGGACAGAGATTGGCAGAGTGGATTTACAAACAAGACCCAACTATATGTTGTCTATAAGAAACCCATTTTAAATATTAAGACACATACAGATTGATAGTAAATGGATGGAGAAAGATATGTTATGCTAACCCTAATCAAAGGAAAGTAGGATTGGCTATATTAATTTCAGACAGAGCAGTCTTCAAAGCAAGGAAACTTATTGGGGATAAAGAAGGGAATTACATAATGATAAAGGGGTTAGTTCTCCAAGAAGACATAACAATCCCTAACTTGTATATGCCCAACAACATAATGTCAAAATACTGAAGGAGCTGTAAAAACTGATAAAATTGCAAGAAGAAATGGATGAATACTCCATTACAGTTGGAGACTTAACACCCCCCCATCAGAAATGAACAAACCCAGCAGGCAGAAAATCAGTAAGGACATAGGTGAACTTAATAGTACCATTAATCAATTAGATACAGTGAACATTTACAGACTGTTTCATTGAATAACAGCAGAATCATATTCTTCTAAAGCTCACATGGAAGATTCAACAGATAGACCACATTCTAGACCATAAATCATACCTTAATAAATTTAGAAGAATAGAAATCATCCAGTGTCTGCTCTGAGACCACAATGGAATTAAACTAGAAATTAGTAATTGAAAGATAGCTGGATTATAGTGTACTTCTGTTTTCAACTTTTTGAGAAACCTCCATACTGTTTTCCAAGGTAGCGGCAGCAATTTGCATTCCATCCAACAGTGTAAGAGGGTTCCTCTTTCTCTGCATCCTCACCAGCATCTGTTGTTTCCTGTGTTACTTTTAGTGATTGTGACTGGTGGAGGTGATACCTCATTGTAGTTTTGGTTTTCATTTCCCTGATAATGAGTGATGTTGAGCATCTTTTCATATGTCTGTTGGCCATCTAAATGTCTTCTTTGGAAAAGATTAAACAAAATACTTCTAAATGGCACATGGATCAAAGAAGAAATCTCAAGAGAAATTAAAAAATATTTTGAACTAAATGAAAATGAAAATAAAACCCATCAAAATTTGTAGGTTGCAAAAGCAGTGCTTAGACGAAAATTTATAGCATGAATGTATGTTAGGAAAGAAAAAAGATCTAAAATCAATCCTCTAAACTTCTACCTTAGGGCATTAGAAAAAAAAGAAAGAGCAAATTGAATCCAAAGTAAGCAGAAGAAAACAAATGATACAAACTAGAGTGGAAATTAGTTAAAGTGAAAACATGAAACCAATAGGAAAATCAACAAAACCAAAAGCTGGTTCTTTGAAAATATCAATAAAATCATTAAGTTTGTAGCCAGGTTAACTAATAAAAACGATGTGGGCACAAATTACTAATATCAGGAGTGAAAGAGGGGACATCAACTACATAGTCCATATTAAAAGGGTAATGAAGGAATACTGTGAACAACTCTATGCCCACAAATTTGATTTCGTACAAGAAATTTGGCAATTCTATGGAAGACACAGTTTGCTTAAAACTCACACAAGAAGAGATAGACGATTTGAATAGGCATATATCTATTAAAGTTATTGAATCAATAACTAATAACCTTCCAAAACAGAAAGCACCAGGCTCAGATAGTGAATTTTATCAAATATTTAAGGAAGGAATCATACCAATTCTCTACGATCTCTTTCAGAAAAAGAAACTGAGGGGGCACCTGGGTGGCTCAGTTGGTTAAGCGACTGCCTTCGGCTCAGGTCATGATCCCGGAGTCCCGGGATCGAGTCCCACATCAGGCTCCCTGCTCAGCGAGGAGCCTGCTTCTCCCTCTGACCCTCCCCCCTCTCATGTACTCTCTCTCTCATTCTTGCTCTCTCAAATAAATAAATAAATCTTTAAAAAAAAAAAAAAGCAACTGAGGGATACTTCCTAACTAATCCAAGAGACCACCATTACCAAACCAGACAAAGATATTAGAAGAAAAGAAAACTATAGTATCTCTCATGAGCATAGATGCAAAAATCCGCTGGTACAACATTTGAAAATCAGTTAATGCAGTCCATCACATGAACAGATTGAAAAAGAAAAATCCCATGAGCATGCAAATAGATGCAGAAAAATCACTTGACATGCAGAAAAATCACTTGACAAAATTTTACAAAACCAGTACACATTCATGATAAAAACTCTAAGTAAACTAGGAAAAGAGGAAACCTTCCTCAACTTGGTAAAGAATATCTACAGAAAACGTACAGCTAACATCATAAGTAATGGTAAGAAACTTGAAACTTTCCCAGTAAGATCAGAAGCAAGTCAAGGATGTTTCCTCTTACTGTTGCTTGTTAACATCGTACTGGAAGCCTTAGGCAATGCAATAAGACAAGAAAAAGAAATATATACAGACTGGGAACAATGAAATAAATCTCTTTGTTTACAGATGACATGACTGTTTATGTAGAAAATCCAAGAAAATCAACAAAAAAACTGGAAATTAGTAAGTGATTATAGCAAGGTTACAGGATACGATGTTACCATACAAAAGTCAGTGACTCCTATACATCAACAATAAACAAGTGGAGTATGAAGTTAAAAGCACAATACCATTTTCATTAGCACCTCCAAAAATGAAATACTTAGGTATAAATCTAACAACATATATACAAGATCTATAGGAGAACAACTGAATTCCAGTGAGAGAATTCATAGAAGAAATAATTGGGAGACATATCCCATGGTTGTCGATGAGAAGACTCAATATTATCAAGATATCAGTTGTTCCCAGCTTGCTCTTTAGATTTAACACAATCCCAATCAAAGTCCCCAATAAGTTATTTTGTGGATATTGAAAAACTGATTCTAAAGTTTATATGAAGAGGCAAAAGCCCCAGACTTGTCAACAGAAAATTGAATATGGAATATTATTTAATGCTCAAAGAAATGAGCTATCAAGCCACAAAAAGACCCAGAGGAAACTTACATGCATATTACTAAGTGAAAGAAGCCAATCTAAAAATTTACATACTACATGATTCTAACTATATGATATTCTGGATAATACAAACTACGGAGACAATAGAAATATCAGTGGTTGCCAGGGGTTAAGGGAGTAATTTAAAATTTGTTCTTTATTTTTTTTTTGACAGGTTACAAAGACAGAATTAGAGAAATTAAAATCCAGCTATAGACAGTTAATAAAAGAAATGAATTCTGCCAAAGAGAAATATAAAGAAGCTTTAGCTAAAGGTATGGAAAAGTTATGAAAAATTGTTTATTTTAGTGATTTTTATTCTCATCATTTGAAGGTTGTCTTTATGAGTAGCAGAATGATTCCACTTAGACCAATTCACATTTTAAAAATATCAAAATGTGCCAAAATAGACTAATTGTCACACTATTTAATACGTCTTTTTATTTTTTTGTTTTTTTAAAATGATGTAAAATATTTTTGAGTAGTTCATACTAAATGGAATTACATAGCAATGGTAATAGAATGCAAAGAATGTTTAAAATTTTCTCTCCAGCATCAGATTTACTTATTTAATTACTGAATACTGAATAAGAAAAATAAGGTTGTGTTTGTTTAGACACCTTTTTTAGTCTTCTTTTTACCTGTGGTATTTAAAAGCCACTAAAAGACAAGTTTATTTTATAGCATTATTTTGCTTTCATAGCTTAATTTTATGTGTCTATATTGTCCTAACATTTTCATAAATGGAAGTAAATAGAAAGAGAAACATTATTTATATTTTAAACAAGTGTTTATGGTTATGAGTTTTTAAATGTGAGTAAACAGTCTTCATATTTAAATTTTTTTAATTGTATAAGTTGGAGGTTTTAAAAAAAAATTCTTCCTGTCTAAATATAAGCTTTATTAGCAGCTCCGTCTTCTTTTTCTCAACATATTTTCTCTTGGTCTTTTACTTGTTGTGTATATATTCTTATTTTCCTGAGGTAAATGAAATAAATAGCTCTATATTTGAATATATCTTGTACAATGAAAATACTATGTTTTTGTTGTTAATCCCAGTAGACTAAAAGAGATCCTGATTTGGATGCATTTCTCTCTCCTTCCCTTTCTTACTTCTTCCCTTTGTCTCCCCTCTCTTCCTCCTCTGGCTGCTCTCTGCTTGCTTCCTCCCTTTCCTTCTTTCTATCCTTCCCCTTTCTCTTGCTTTCTCTCTGCTCCCCATTTTCCTGCCAACACTTTGTTTCCCTCTGTTCCTGTCCCCACCCCTCACACATTTACCTCATGTTTCTGCTTTTTGCAGTATTTCTACTACTTTTTTTAGGGAAGATGAAGCTGTGTTTAAAGTTTTCTTATTTCTGCTTTTTTTCATGTACCTCAACCAGTATTTTGAGATCATGATCTCTTTATTAATATAAACATATCTTTTAAAATACTTTTGTAATTCAATTATCTTAAATTATTTAAGTGGTAAAACAAAAAAAATGGCATTGTATAAAGATCATATATATATACATACTTTGGAGTCAGATAGTATTGGATGTGAGTTCCAACACTGTATGATTATTTCATAGATTTTCAAATTTCATATAGCTAATTTTAATTCCTTTATTATTTTAAAGAGAGCTTTAGATAATCGAGAAATATTTACTGAGCATTTGCTATCTTTAAGTTATTGAAATTCAAGCAGTATTTCCTAGGCATTCAAGGAGCTTACCCATTTCTAGTTGATATTCTTATTTATGAACTGCAAGTCTTAACCTCTTTCAAAATTCAGTTTATGTACAAGAGATCCCTTGCTTAAAGAGTAGTTTAGAAGTAGTTTTGCATGTTAAGCATTACTACTTAATCTGTCAAAATAGTTAATTTTATAAAGTCTGTTACTTAATGCATGGGTAGCATTCTCAAATTATTGCCCTGTATTAAAAATATCCCTATTTAAATTCACCCAGAGCAAGTGATGACTTAATCCAACTGTATTGTAATTCAGGTATGCTAAGTATTTCACTCTAGGTCTGTTATCTGTTGGAGAATGATTAGTTAAAAAAAAAAAAAAAGAAATAGATATTTACTCCCTAGTCTTTGATATCCATTTTTTAGTGATATAGTTTATTTTGCTTTAATAAATGAAATCTAATTCTGATGTAATAAAATTTTAAATAGTTCTTGTACATAGTGCTTATATTATCAAATATTTTTCACAGATAATAGTTCTTTATTGTTTTTTGTTACTTTTAATCTAGATAAAATACCATTTAGTGTTGTATTAATAGTAGGAAGGCAACTAGAAAATTTGAAGATTCTAGTTTTTTTTTTTTTTAAAGATTTTATTTATTTATTTGACAGAGAGAGACACAGCTAGAAAGGGTACACAGCAGGGGGAGTGGGAGAGGGAGAAGCAGGCTTCCTGCAGAGCAGGGAGCCCAATGTGGGGCTCGATGTGGGGCTCGATGTGGGGCTCGATCCCAGGAGCCTGGGATCATGACCCGAGCTGAAGGCAGACGCTTAACAACCGAGCCACCCAGGCGCCCCTGAAGATTGTAGTTTTAATTGGTCCCAAGAAGTGTTATTATTTGGCTGAATCTCATGAATTTATTTACATTTCTCCTTCTAAAAGGAGAATTAGTGATAATATTTTCCTATTTTCAAAAATTTGATTGCTGTCATTAAGTCAATTTATAACCTATAGAGTACGTATTTTTAAAATAAGTTCTTATATGATTGTGTTCGATACTTGACACATATGTAAATTTATCTTTTTATAATCAAAACTATCATGTTTTGTGAAAAAGTATAAAATTATATTTTTGAACACTTTGTTTCTGTTATCAAACTACTTTTTATGTTTAATGTGGAAATAGGGTTTCTATTGTGAAGTAATTTACTCTGTAAGGATAGTAAAATTTCCAACATTTGCAGACTTTATGTCAGAACCTTAGTTCATCTGTATAGGCCAGACCAGGGTAGTTCTGGCATGGTCTCTAGGGATTGCTGGGCACTGACAGTGAATACCCTGGCTGTGGTTCTAGCAACCATGGATATTAGGAGGTCTTAAGACCCAAGTCTGACATATAGCTTCCAGTTAGAGAAGACAAGGCTTTAGGAGAGATAAGGCTTTGCGGGGAAACAAGGCCTGAAAATAATTCCTGTAGCAAGAGTTAAATTCTGGATTTGAGAATTGGTTGGGAGTTAAAGACTCAGTTACTGTAACTGGAGGTTTAGCACTTACAGTTGATCAAGAGGAAGGCTGGGTTAATGCTTAAATTCCAAATTCCTGACCCCTGCTGTGTGCATTACACAAAATACTTTAAATTTTGAATATTAAAGTTTTTATCCAAAGGAACATTAGTTTATGTTGTCTAATGTAAAATATAACAGTAATTTGCAACATGAATGTAGCATTTTAATTAATTTTTTGGTAATATATCTTAAGTATTAAACTTGTTTTGCTCTGTGCTGAGCTGAGAAAGCAAATATTTGTCTTAAATTGACTTGGACTAATTTGAACATTAGTCTATTGATTATTATTTATAACATGTAAACTGAGAACAACCAAAATAATTTTAGTTAGCCCTATTCAACTGAAGTTAATAATTCAGAGTGTTTCTTGATAGCAGCATAGAATAATGAGTTCTTGAATACAAAATACACAGGTTTTACTTTTCTATTGCAGATTAAGTTCTGAATACACAAGTTGGTTGAATACCTGTTTAGGTTTAGCCATAAAACAATTTCGTGAATCTATAAAGCTTGTATCTGAACTAAGGTTTTGACATAATGCCTATAAATGTTGGCAAAATTTTCTGTCACATTTATCCATATAAAAAGTAAATGACTTCACAAAGGAACTCCTGCACGATCATGTTGTCTATGAATAAAGAAAGTTTAACTTTCCCTTTCCAATCTGGATAGCTTTTTCTTGCCTAATTGCCCTAGCTAGAACCTCCAGTATAATGTTGAATAGAGGTAGAAAGAGCAAAGATAATTGTCTTGTTCCTGAACTTAGGGGAAAAGTAAAAATTAAGTATTAAGTTAGCTATAGTTTCAAAGTTTTTATCAGGTTGAAGTTCCTTTCTATTCCTGTTTTAGAGTAGTTGTTGGATTTTGTCAAATGCTTTCTTTATATCTATTGAGATATATATATTTTCTTCTTTTTGTTTGATATGAATTACTTTGATTGATTTTCACGTTTTAAGTATTACACCATCTTACATTCTTGGGATAAACTCCTTGGTTGTGATGCACTATCATTTTTTTATATTGTTGAATATGGTTGGCTAAGTTTTTTTTTTTTTCATAATTTTTATCTATATCTTTGTTTCATGTATTTTTATCTCGTTTTATTTTAAAGATAATGCTATTCTGTGGATGGTTACTTCCTGTTCAACAAGAAAGATTTTTGTTCAACTGGTAATATTTCTTAAATATTGGTAGAATTCACTTGTGAGGCATCTGGGTTTGTTTGTTTTTACTTTTTACTTTTTGGCAAAGATTTTTAAACTATAAACTCAAATTTTTGAATTGATGTAGACTCTTTAGTTTATCTTTTTCTTTTTGAGTTTTAATGGGTTGTATCCTTCAAGGAAATGTCCATTTCACCTAAGTTGTTGAATTTTTTGCTATTAAATCATTCATAATATTTCCTTATTCACCTTTTTAATTTGTAAAATCTGTGGTGACTTTGTCTTTCCCATGCTTGATACTGGTATTTTATGTCTTTTCTCTTTGTTTCTAATCATTCTGGCTAGAGGTTTACCAATTTTACTAATTTTCTCAAGGATCAGCTTTTGGCTTTATTGTTTTTTTTTTTTTTCCTATTTTTCTGCTTTCTATTTAATTGGCTTATGCTCTAATCTTTATTATTTCTTTCCTTCTGCTTGTTTTAGGCTTAGTTTGCACCATTAAAAAAAATGCAAATGTTCTTAATATGGAAGATAAATTCGTTGATTTGAGAACTGTTATTTTTCTACAGGAATTTTGTGTTATAAATTTCCCTAAGTACTGTTTTAGCAACATTCCAAAAATTTTCATACACCATCTTCATTTTCATTCAATTAAAAATACTTTCTAATTTCCCTTTTGTTTTTCCTTTGATCTATAGGTTATTTAAAAGTGTGTGGGTTAGTTTTTTAAACTTCTGACATTTTTCTAGAGATGTTTATATTTTTTATTTGTAATTTAATTCCATTTTGATCTGAGGATATTTATGACTTCATTTCTTTAAATTTATGTGTATATGTTATTTGGCCCACAGTATGGTCTGTTTTGATAAATGCTT